CCTCCGCCTCCTGGGTTCAGGCAATTCTCCTGCCTCAGCCTCCCGAGTAGCTGGGATTACAGGCATGCGCCACCATGCCCAGCTGATTTTTTGTATTTTTAGTAGAGACGGGGTTTCACTATGTTGACCAGGATGGCCTCGATCTCTTGACCTCGTGATCCACCCGCCTCGGCCTCCCAAAGTGCTGGGATTACAGGCTCGAGCCACCGCGCCCGGCCACCGGAGGGGTTTTAAGCCCTTGGACACTGGCAGGATTGCCTGCCAGGGGCCAGCTTTCCACAAGAACTGGACGCAAGGTACTGGAACTCCTTTTCAGGAGGAGTGACTCTTGCTCCAAGCCTGCCATACAGCGGGTGTCTTTACCATACTGAACACTGCCGCCTAGGCCAGCCTGCCATGTAGTGCGTGCCCTTTCAGGCAGAGGCACTACCTTTTGGGCCATAAATTATTGTCCTGATATAATTGTTTTTCCTTTAAATCATGCTCAGCACCGTGTCTGCTCTAGACATTCCTCCGACTATAAAATATATATATAAAAAGAAATGACTGAGTAGTAAGATACTCTTCAGGCACTAATTGTCCTGACTGTAAACTAATAGAAGGATTATACAAAGGAACTAACTGGGTAGTAACACTATAAACTAAGACATTCTTCAGGCACTCATTGTGCCAGGGATCTGCTGAGCTCTCCTTCCTCGGTGCCCAGATGGGGGGACCGCCGACACCCCACCTCGGCCAGGCCTCTTCCGCTCGGCACCCACCACCCTCCTGCGTCCCCAGCCTGACTCTGTTGCGCCCACCAGCACTCAAGGTTGCATGCTTTCCCGGCCTCAGTCCCCAGGCCCTCTCTTGTCCCTTGTGGTCACGGACTCAGGGTTCAGCTCCAGCCTCGCTGAGCTGGTGCTTATACAGCCCCAGGTCATTCCTGAGGTGGAGAATCGGGTCATCCCTGACTCAGCTTTTACCTTGATTTTATTTGCAAAGGATTCTTTTCTCAAATGCTCTGTGGCATTTGGACACACATCCCAAGTTGGTATTTGCATAGGAGTCACTTTCAGTGAAATAACATTTTTAATGTGTGGTTTTATGGTTCAAGAAACTACATGATGATTTTGAGGAAACACTTGCCAGAAACTAAATGAACAAATAAAGGATTTCAGTGCTTGGCTCGGACCGCCTGCCGTTTCTCCAGTGGGCGCTGCGCTTGGGGTATGAAGATCCTGACTGAGCCTGTGCTGGTGGGAGGGGCTGCAGCAGCTCCCCGGTCACTGTGGTGTGATGATGACGCGTTAGCCCAGAAACCCCACTTGAGGTAGCGTCTCCAGGAGCCTCTATAAATGTACAGATGTAGTGGGTCCCCCGTCTGCAGCTTCCCACTGCTATCAGGAAGAGGCTGTGGTGGTCCTAATATCCCCAAACCAAAACTACGGATTGTCTAGAACAATCTGGAAAGGGGTTAAATGCACCTGGGCCTCTTGGGCTGCAGCCCAGAGGCTGGGTCATGTGGTCGGAGAGGGGGCTGAGGCGGGGGCTAAGATAGGGGCTGAGACCGCCCGGGTGGCCTGGACACACCCACATCAGGGTTCTGAGCCTATCGCAGGCCCTGTGGAACCACCGTGTCCCCAGAGGTTTATGGGAGCCTCCAGGGCGGAGGGCTGGGATCCAGAGGTGGGGTGCTCAGCTCTGGGTGTCAACCCGGCCAAACGTAGACCTACTGGGCACCCTTCAGACATGCTGGTGGCGGCTGGGGGTCTGTGCTTCTATGAGGATTGGGGGAACTGTCTCCCAGGCCACTCAGGACTCCTGTGAGAAGCTTGGTGGCACGTGTCCTCAGCCCTGGTTTCGTAGATGAAGAGGTGGGTTCCAGCCATCTGGACAGGTCGGGGTAGCCTTGGTGCTGTCCTCCTTTCTCTGCTGGCCATGCCCAGCCCTGGCCTGTCCCGGTCCAGGCCTTCCCCTGCGCCCTGCACTCTATCTTCCCAGCTCCAGGCACCTGGCGCGCTCACACTGTGGGAGTGGCTTGGGCAGGTCCCCAAGGCCTGTCCCACCCACCCTGCCCTGCCGCCTCCCATCTGCCCTGTGGCGGCTATCGGGTAACCAGAGCCGGCAAGCTTCATCCACGTCTGAAACAGGAAGCCCCGGCCTGTGCATGAGTCACCGCCGAGAGCCCAGGCCAGAGGATGGAGGAGCAGCAGGCACTTGTGGCCGCCAAGGACGGGGATGTGGCAGCACTGGAGCGGCTGCTGGAGGCTGGCGCCCTGGGCCCAGGCATCACTGATGCTCTGGGGGCCGGCCTGGTTCACCACGCCACCCGGGCTGGCCACCTGGACTGCGTCAAGTTTCTGGTGCAGCGGGCCCAGCTGCCTGGCAACCAGCGGGCCCACAACGGCGCCACCCCAGCGCATGATGCCGCCGCCACGGGCAGCCTGGCTGAGCTGTGCTGGCTGGTCCGAGAGGGGGGCTGTGGTCTGCAGGTGAGCGGGGACGGGGCAGCCTGGCCTCCACAAACCTGGCTGGCGTGGAACCAGGGAGGCATGCAGCAAGGAGGCTCAGAGCACTGGCCCCCGGCCTCCGTGGCCCTGGCCCTTTGTTTCTCTTGGGGACTCAGTCCCTGTCCCACACCTCCCGAAGCACAAAGCCTTGAGTGGCAAGGCCACCTCCTCAATGTTCTTATCACCTCCTCTGCCAGGAGCGCTTTGTTGCCAGTGGGGTGTCTTGCCGAGGTCAGGACACCTGTCTCTCCTCAGGCCTGGCCCACGGGGCTGCTCCCCAAAGGGTCTAGAAAAAAGTCCTTAGAGCAGCACTGTGGGACTTCAGGCTCGCGAGCTGGGAGCCCGGCCCCACGGGATGGGAGTGAGGGGCCGCTGATGGTGGCCATCTTGTCCAGAGTGTTTCTACTGTGGCCCCCTTCCCTCTCCTGCCTGCCCAGTGCCCTTCGTGCAGGCGAGGGCCTCAGAGCTGTCACTCAGCCCTCTGGAGCTCTCAGGAGTACGGTGAGCAGGCCTGACCGGCCTTAGAACGCCACCCCTAGGTTAGAGTTGGGGTGGGGGCAGCGGGACCTGCTGAGACAAGGGAGTGGAAGGTCCCCCCACCTGGCTCTCCAGAGCACCTGAGGGTCCCAGCCCAGCCTCCTGTTCTGGGCAGCCCGTCCGCCAAGTTCAAGGGCAGCAGGCGGGAGCTGTGCTTATCTGGGGATCCATTCTGACCACAGGGCCCTCAGAGAAGGCCCAGGTCTGCCGGACCCGTGACACCTGTGATGGGATGCTCCCTGGCCCTGAGGCTCTGTGGCCAGCGGGAGGGCACTGGGACAGGGGACCAGCCAGAGGCAGGTATCCTGGGAAGCCTTTCTGACCATAAGCAGTGGGCGGGAGCTGCAGGCACCTAGCTGAGTGGGAAAGGGCCGTTTTCACACTGGGAACAGGATGGCCAGAGGTGACATCCCAAGACCTGCCCCTGAGTCCTGGCCCTCCTCTCACTTCAGTCCCAACAGGGAGGGCCTCCCTCCGTGTTGTAGGCAGAGACAGGGAAGGAGGGAGGAGCTGGAAGGCCCTTCGCTGGGTTGCAGGCAGTGTGAGCCCTCGCCCGGGCCCACCTTGGGGAGTGGCTCTGCCACACGGGCTGCCCAGCAGGGGAGGGTCGGGGCCTGCCCCCCACTTCCTGACCTGCCTGGGCCTCGGTAGGACCAAGATGCCTCGGGTGTCTCCCCGCTGCACCTGGCCGCCCGCTTTGGACACCCAGTGCTGGTGGAGTGGCTGCTCCACGAGGGCCACTCAGCCACGCTGGAGACCCGGGAGGGGGCCCTGCCCCTGCACCACGCTGCCGTCAGCGGGGACCTGACCTGCCTGAAGCTCCTGACGGCGGCGCACGGCAGGTAAGGAGCCTGGAGCCCTGCCTGGGGGGGGCAGCCTGGGGCCAGCTGGCCAAGGGGAAGCTTCACTGAGCGGGTCCGAGAGGACAGGCTGGTGGCCTTTGTGGTGAGTCCTGCAGGCAGGCAC